GACTATATAGGAGTGTGACTGTATATAAAGTTAATCTATTATTAATATTAATGCTATATTATAAAAAAGCCTATATATAATAATCAGAAAGAATTTTAATAAGTGTTACATGCAGGTTACTTTCTATTTGAATATTGAAGTTCTATTATAATTCTATTATAATTTATATTAAATAACTAGTTTTTGATATATATACTAGTTAGATAGAAGCTACTGAACATGTAAGTGAAAATATATATAGAACATAGACTACTCTGTTAGATTTATAAAAATATGCTAAAAATAGTTAGTAGATCCTAAGTTGAATGCAAAATCCAATTAGATAAATAACAAAATCTACTTCTATATAGTAAACAATATCTAGAATTAGGTTGGTGGACAATAGCAGTTGTGACCAAAGAGTTTAAATAGATATTTCCTATAGTTGGAATATAGATATTAGACAGACTACTTAAATTAGACACCAAAAGTGCTTGATATATTTTTATTATAATTATAAAATATTCACTGGCTATAGAGATCACATTAATATTAAAAAATAAAAAATAAAATAAAAAAATAACTAGTTTTTAAAACATTATAAAAAATTTTATAATATAGAAATTATATAGCATTTAATATATAGTATATTTTTATTTTAGCTTAAAAAATAGAGAGTAAAGTCTAATAAAATTTTAAGCAATAATTTTTTAAAAATTTTAGTATACAAATATATACACTATACAGTTTAAGAGTAGGAAATATGTAAATCATTTTGTCATATGATTTTGGTGATACAATAAGATTTATATAGAAATTGATAATATGCTACTAATAAACCTTTTTATGATTATAATTAATTATCTATTATAGTGAAATTTTGAACTATTTTATTATTTTAAAAAAATATACTTATATATAATACAAAGTTTTTCTGGGTTGGCTCAAAATTTTCTGAGATTACACAAACTTGCCAAATTTGATTGGCTAATTTATATTAATTTATAAGTTAATTTTATTATAAATTTTATATTTCACTAAATTTTCAACTAATTTTAATACTTTTACTACTATTAGAATCAGAAAGACCTACTCTACAAACTTTTTTTAAAAATTAAAATTAGTTTACTTAATACGATTTTTTATAAAATTAAATATAAAAAAAAATTACCATTAAGTTTATATATAATTTTAAAATAGTACCCCTACCCTTAAGGGATAAATCAATAAAATTAGCCAATAATATGAACTGAAATTCACATGAAACATAAATAATAGGTGCCCGCTGATATGGGAACCGGGTAGTGGTACTACCCAAGCCCTACCCGTTTGTGTAAGGGCTTAGTTTTTCGAGCCCTTACCCTTACCCTAAGGCTTGGGATTTGATACCCTAGCCCGGCCCTTGTGGGCCTACCCGCGAGTACCCCAGGCCCATGCGGAGGCCTATATAACGAGGTCTGACTGTATCAAGGTTGTGACTATATCAAGGTGACTATAATGAGGTATGATTGTACAAAATTGGATTCCTATACGTATTATAACCATATTTTCACGAAATAATGTCCATGAGCATTATTTCGAATGTTTGCCCGAATTAAGCTTAATTTAAGCCAAAATTCGAAATTACACTCCTGCGCGTTATTACGCTAAGATAGGTAAAAAATTTAATAAAACAAAGTATTTATATTTCTTTTTTGTAGTTTATATAGTATTTTTCATACCCTAATTTTAATCTAAATACTAACTCTTTAACATGAAAAATTTGAGCTAAAAATTTTATATATAAAATTTATTAATTCTAACGCTAAAGTAATTTTGCAGATCAAGTATGGTTTTAATTTTAAAAATTATCTACATAATCTTGTTCACTAAGCTATCCATTGTCAAATAAAAAATAAAAACTTTATTTGTTAAAAGAAAATAACCAATCAGATCTGTCTGACGTAAGATCAAAAGCGCGTGAAAGAAGGAAAGAAATAAAATAAAATAAATGCACTTTCCTTCAGGGTTGGGCAATTGGACAAGTGGGTAATTTTTTTTAGAAATAAGAAACCTCTGTTCAGAGTCAAGCAAACTAAATAATTAAGACAATAATCTACCACTAATTTTTATTCTATATATGTCAATAAATCAATGGACACTGGACAAATTTATATGTCCAGTGTCCAGTGAAATTCACTGGACATAGAGGGCTGCCCAACCCTGCTTTCCTTGTAAGATCATATAAATAAAAAGTAATTAGTTAAGACGCCGAATCTTATTGTATACTAAAATCTATAATAATCCCAATTTTGAGATAATAAATATTATTCAACTCATAACTCCGTGACGCCTCTTTTCCTATTTGTACGTGATGACATATTTTTAATGAGTTTGTTTGTTTTGTATCTAGGCACTGGCTTTTTTAATTTTCACGTGTATTATATTAGTTTTCTTTTTTGACGTAAAATAAAAGTTTCTTTTCTGTTAAGGATCCGTTAAGTTAATAATTATTGGTAAATAATATGCGGATTATTTTTTTTTCATATGATAAGCACTGCGATGCATAAGGTGAAGAGGGCATTACAGCACAGGTATCAAATGTGATAATGTTCTAGCCATTGCAATTAAACATAACGCCTACCAATTAAATTGCAAAATTAGGTATAAAAAAATTTGTTATAAAAAATGTATAATTTATATTTTCTTAAAAATTTTTTAATAACAGTGTCAGACTGGAGATCACGCGACTAATACTATTTGACCTTAGATGTGTTTTTACTGAACATATAAAAAACCCCTACACCCTGCAGATAGGATTATCGTTTAGTGATATTATTGGCTTGACCTGAGACAGCTCAAATGGTTTCTAATCCATAATTCAGCCTGGTATAAATTTGACTGGATTTTTTATGTTAAAATCCTAATTTGCTATACAAGTAACCAGATTTATTATATATATTTCACCACATCTTTGCGTTTCTTAATACTGCAGTGTATGACGTAGTTTAAATTAGTGACCATCTATGAATAATTTTTATTTTACGGGAAAGACGGCGGTAAGATGGATTTTGACGCTAGTTTATTGGTTTTGGGGGGTTTGATATAAGTTAATACAATAACACAATACATTTAATAGTAATTTGGAATTCTTTATTTAGGGTCAATTACAAAAATGCGCAATGATGGTTTCATCATATCCATACATGTTCATTATGAAGCATTTATAAAACACTTCAAAATCAAATGTAATATTGATTTTTGACTGTGCTAATCAATATTCCCAAGTTAGGGAACATAACTATGTATTCAGGGTTTAGCACAGTGTCTGAAATTGGGTTGCGGAGTCTGCGGACCGCAATAAAATTTTAAATTCCCGCAACTAAAATCTGAAGTGCATATGCAAATTCCGCATATAAATTTGCAAATTTTATCGATTAAATGTTCATGTGCGCAACTAAATTTTATAAATTTTTATAATCCGCAAGTCGTTTTTTTTAATTAGTTGCAGCCCGCAACTAATTTAAATATTGAATTTCAGACACTGGTTTAGCATTGATTGATTAGTATGTATATAATTTGGTAATTAAATTTAGTCCAAATACTTGCTTAATTTTACAAATGCGCTGTAATGATATTAAATAATTTTCTGTATACATAATTCTGTAATTTTAAGTAATAACTTTTGACCTAGTTAGTTTATTTTGGGTGATGGGTCTCAATTTAAAATATAAACTCTACCAAAACCTGTTCATATTCCTTATTAGTAACAATTCTAACAATTTTAAAAATCGTTAAATATTTTCAACATTATCCGATTTCAGCATTCCCGATAATCAATATTAAAATTTTGGAAACTTTAAAGCTATAGTATCAATAAATAAATAAAAACCATTCTTATTGGTTCAAAATCCCTTTCGACCACGTGAAATAATTTGCAAAAATCAGGATCATCACTAGTCATGGAACCTGGCCTAAACTAGTATAATTTTAAAAATTGGCCTGTACTATACTAAAATCCAAATTTTTTCAATTAAGATTTGCAAAATTTTATATGTGCGATAACGGGACGTGAAAAGTCCGGTCCCGACTCCAAGTCTGACTGGGACTCGCATCCACACATGTGTATTCATGCATATTTTGCATGCATATACTAGATGCACCTTTTCACATCCCTAGCGGCAAGATAAATTTGGCAAATATCAACCGGTCAAATAAAATCAACACATATATTCACAGGTATATAGAACAATAAACTTTTTTTACAAGTATTCTTTCAAAAAAATTTTTCAACCTTTCATATTTTCTATATTATCTAAATTCTTATCTCTTAAACGGTTGGAAAAAGGTCGCATATCACATTAAAGATTTTTTGCACTAAATGAAAATGGCACAATTGTAAATCAGGTGATTTGCATTTATTATAGAGTATTACTCACCCACCCACACCTGATAAATGATATACTATATAAAATTTTTCTAATGCTATATATATATTATATAACCTGATAGTTCTGCTGACCCACCCACCCACTTAAAAATCACCTGATTTCCGGAAGCTATTATATGAAGTGTTCTGTAGTAAACCCTCTATGATTGGTTATGCAATTTATATAAACATTAAATATTAACATATGAATCTTCATAATACCGTAATAATTATGAATATTTATAATATATTTTAAAGAGTGACCTTTATAAATAAATAAATAAATACCGGATATAGTAAAGACAGGTGTAATGTGTATACAATGTACGATGCCAACACTATTTTTGATACAAAGCTTAGCTTTAGTTTTCGGGACCCATAAATATGTCATATTTATACAAGTAAACACTAAGTAAGACATATGAGGAACGGAGAATCTGTTTTTCTATTTTGAGTGTTTAGCGAAAATGCAGTTATTATACCTGTTTCTGCATTTGTTTACATTTTGCATACATTAAAAAATTTATTTAAACACGCTCATAAAATGCTCGTTATCCAGTTTTTTCAAAAAATCTCCGGATACGAACAAAATTTACCTTAAGTATCAGTAAAAATGGTACATAATTACATAAAAATTGGATCGAAAACTATTAAAAATCGAACTATTCCAAACCTAAATTTGAAACAAGACTTTGAATCGCGTGCGGAAGTATACCCAAATCATCAAGAAGATATTAACCCGCAACAAATAAATAATTCCAATATATGGATCAATAATAACAAGAACCTTGATCAATTGATCAAAAAAAATTCACGACTAAATTCATCGCAATGTCAATACTTGGAATGGATACCTTATGATCGTCTAACCAATATTCAGTATTTGGGCCAAGGAGGATTTAGTACTGTTTATTCTGCGTTATGGGAAGATGGAGAAATCTTAGAAAAGGTTAACGGTTGCAATTTCGAGCAATTACCTAGAAATGGTCCAAGAAAAGTTGCTCTCAAGCAACTTCATAATTCTCAAAATATATGCCCTCAATTTTTAAATGAGGTGAGTTTATTATTATAATAGCCATCTCATAAAACTTTATCGTATAATTTGATTCAAACACAATTTTCTTTTATAAAATTGTAGTTAGAATCATCATTTTATTGTAATAGCAATAAAACAGTTCACATATATGGAATAACACAGGAACCAAAAACCAAAGATTATATGATTGTAATGCAACTTGTTGAACAGGGCAACTTGCGAACTTATATTCGAGAAAATTATAACAAGCTTACTTGGATAAAAAGGATCGAAATCCTACTTGATATTGCCCGAGGACTTCATTCTATTCATCAAGCCGGCTTGTGTCACAAGAATATTCATACGGGAAACTTGTTATATGATAATGGTTCCGTGTTAATAAGTGATTTGGGCCTTCTTGGACCTGCTAATAAGTTATGCGAATATAACGAAGCAATTGGTGTTATTCAATACATGGCACCTGAAATATTACGTGGAAAACCATATACTAAATCCGCTGATGTTTATGGGTTTGCTATTATTATGTCAGAAATGGCTTCAGGACGCCCGCCGTTCATTGACACCCCACGTGACAAACACGCGGACTTAGTATATGATATATGTGATGGTTACAGACCACGTATTAAGATTGAAATACCAAAATGCTTTGAAAAGTTGATGTTACAATGTTGGGACGATGACGAATTTAATCGTCCTAATACCCGACAATTGGTTGATAATTTGTCCGAGTGGTATAATGAAATTCGCAATAATACCCATTCGGAATTTATGACTGCCGATGAACAGAAACATTTGCAATTAAAACTTCCTTTATATAAATATGACGTATATAAAAGTCAGCGAGTAAGAACAACAGATTTCGGTGACGATGATGGTATAAAATTTTCTGGAAATGATTACAATGGCTATGGGAATGATTTTCCCTCATTAATTGCGCGTGAATCCGATAGCAGTAAGTCATTTTTTGTTTTCGTTATCATAACTTTGTAATTTGGCCATGTATTCTTAACTATAAAAAATTTATTCCTAATATCAAGGTTTAGAGGATGAAGAAGATTTAGAGGAATATGGTTCGTTATATTCAATGATTTTTCTTATTTATCCGTTCTGAAATTAAGTATTTATTTATTAAATTATGTCTATAGAATATGTTTCAATGCAAAGGAATGACCTTCTCTCGTGGCTAGGTATATATTTTTCAAAAAAAAAAAAAATTTCATGTTTGCAAAATTTTAAACCTCATTACAAATATCCTCTCTTGTACTAATAGAAAATGTTGAAGATGGAATGCCCAATTTACTCGATTGTAAATATTAGACCTTTCTTAAACAAATGCCTTACTTGTGAATTGTTTCCTAGAATTTTATAAATGCTATCTTTGATGAGTGAATTGATTATATTCAACATAATTGTTAACGAGATATATTAAAGTATTTTAATGATTTTAATTTGATGATGACCGCACTCGGATTTTATTATAAGCAAATAATGCAGTTAGTTTATATGATTTGGTATAATTTTTAATCAGTTATTTAAATCCAAAAGCGAGTCTTCATACCTGTTCTTTTCTATTGTAAATATATCAATTGCTAATGAGATTTGGTTAATTCTGTAACATATTCCATTTTATATATTTAATTCGAGTGCGTCATCTGGCTCAATTCTAGCAATTTATTTAGATTAGTAATGTGAGTATACAGTATTACGTTATTTGGCTCAATTCAAATATACAAACTTATGATAATGTTTTCATAATGCTACTCAATGGCTAATCGAGATTTGGTAAGGCTAAGACAAATACAGTAAAAAAAAGTATAATAGTCAAATAATTTGTATTAATAATTTAAATTTAATAAAAGCAAAAATTGGAATTTTTATATTTAATTAAAAGTGTTTCTTAAACTAATATTTAATTCTATAAATATTAATTTTATGTTTATAATATATTGTTTATAAAACTATTTAATAAATTATTTTATATAGTAATTAAATACAAGATTGATAAGTTGAAATTTAATTTACTATATACAATATTTTAAATAAAATAAGGGTAAATTATATATAGATTAAAAGATTAATTATAATCTATATTATACTGTATAATATAGTTATTTTTAATTTGCAAAGCAGATATATAAATTTGTTAATTTAAATAATTTTAGCTATATGTTTTTATTTTATTAATTTTTTTTAATTTTTTTTAAAATTATAGTGATAAATATTTAAAATCCTTGTTTTAGAAATTTTTACTCTAATTTTTTTTAACTTTTATACTACGTATATATTTAAATCTAAAAAAAAATTTACTTCTAATGCAAGTCTTAATATATACAATATAATAATAAATTTTGTTATTATTTATATATGCTGCAATTGTATTAAGAACTATATCAAAGCTAATATTTAAAAAATTTATATAATAAAATTTGTAAATTATTTTTATTGTTAAAAAAATAATTTTAAATTACATATTTTATCTTATAAGCAAACCAAGTATTTTTTTCTTATAATTTAAGTATTAAAATATAATTTTTATTTCAAATGTTATTATACAAATTTTATTTAAATAAATCAGAGTTGAATTTGTGGCATCTAAGTAAGCAAATCTGTTGTCAAACTCTAAAGAGAAAGTTATTTATTAAGATAATTAGTTTACAAAATTTCTAGGAAGTAATAAATTGCCAAAAAACATAGAGTAATTACTATTAATTTACTATCAAATTTATACGTTACATACTAAAATTTCAACCCAAGTCTACAACATATATGTACGTACGCACATATGTTATACAATGCAAGTATAGACAAAAGTACTGTATAAACATTGAACTAAATATTTCTTAAATTACCAAGACCAATAGAAGTGTGTACGTTATTGAAGTTGATAATTTAAGAAGGTACTTGATTTCAATGTGCTACTTAATTGCGTGTTACACTAATTCTATAGAATGTGGCTTTTTAAATTTCCTGTCTTGACGCAAGAAATCCGAAAACCACAATCATTTTTCATAGAGACAAAGAATAAATATTGATTAACAACAATAGAGTGTATATATTATTAAAGTCGATAATTTAAGAATAATTGATCTCAAATGTACTACTTAATCATTTGTTACATTATCTATATATAGAGACTAGTGGTTTTTTAAACTTCCTGTTCCCATGCAAGAAATCTAAAACCACAATATAGTATTAATGTAACGCATAATTTTATAATATTAACGTTAATTTCAAATGTTTATATTTTGTCTCTATAAGGAGTAATTGTGGTTTTTGGATTTCTTGCACCGTACGTACAGTACCTTGCAAACTAAATCGCACTGTACAAACATACATGCGTATGTACAGTGCATGCCGTTAACGACATTATCAAATGGGAAAAAATTTTCAATGATTTAGATAGATAACTAACCAAGGTTATTATTGGATTAACTTAAAAACTATAAATTGAACAGAAACAAAATAGCAGGACTTGATTTGTTAATTTTATTTTTATTAATATACGTACTGTCTTTAAATATATATATATAACCTAAAAATACATATGGGCTTGGTGCTACAAAAGAAAAGAAAATCAAAAATTATTGACAAAAAATCAATTATCGCGAATTTTTGATCAGAATTGCGTGATTTTGGTACCATTCGATTCGTCTCGACAAGACGAATCAAATGATACCAAAATCATATAATTCCGATTAATAGTTCGCGAGATAATTAATTTTTTGTAAATAATATATTTTTTTTGTCATTCCTTTTTCCAACGCCATGTGTAAAAAATCATATAGCTTTAAATGGTCTATCGTCTATCGAATTATACGTTTTCGATAATTTCGATAAACTCGCATTAGATAGTTTTTGCTAAAATTGGTATTGTTTAAAATATACTGACTGTATAATTATATTATTTACTAAAATTCATACGCATAAATACTAATTTAAATTTTTAAAAATTTCAGCATAAGTCAATTTTAGCAGTAAGCTGCAATTAGCCATATAAAATTTTCGGTTCACATAATTTAAAAAAGAGACCACCGCGTTATATACAGCCTTATAATCTGATTGGTTAGTTAGGATTTTTAATTTCAAATTTCAGCACCGTCCCCAAACTCCAAATATTAATCTAATAAAACTTTTATTAGCATATTTTATTAATCTAGTATATATATATTTAGTAAATCTTATTAAAAAATTTCAAACATACAATTATAAATTGATTTATAACCAAGATCTTAATCAGTTTGCACCAATAAAATACAATGGCAAAACACCCTTAACAAAGTGAATACAATAATTAATTGTCTAATATTAATGCAACGAGAAACATGGCCCTTTATATTTATTCTGAAAAGTGATAACTTTCTAAGTTGGATTTAATTTACAATATTAATAGCTTAATCAATAGTAAAGTATATACTTTTTAAATTTATTTAATTATGCAATCTCAATAACCACTACATCGAGATGCTTAATAGATACAATTATCATCTATTACACTTATAATACAATCATATCGCAAACTGTACAAACACTAATCCTGTTCGATATTAGTTCCAAAAAATCCAACACTACCAACAGCCCAAATTTCTCGTTCTTCCTCTGCATCTTCATCTACTTCATTCATATAACCTGCCTGCAGTTGTTCAATTTTCTGTTGTTCTTGTGAAACAAGTTTGGATAAAACGCGTTTATGAAAATCAATAAAAGTTTTGGCTGTTTGAGAATCAGTTGTTGATAAATAGTTCTAGAATAAAATAAAAATATTAGTAATAAATCTTAAGCTTTTCGGGATAACTAGAAATGCATTTACCTGCATCACATTTTCGCCATCCAGAAGCTGAAGTACGTACACCAACGCACGCTCAGATGCAAGTTTCACTGGTATATTTCGGTCACGTGCACATACCATAATTTGAGGAATGATCTCGGAAAGATGAGGTTCCAAAATCTAAAAATTAAAATAATTTATTAATAATAAAATCAAACAACTTCATAAAATATTTAACACCATACCTGTGGACATTTTCTTCCAATTACTCGAAAGACACCCAAAGCTAATCGTTTTGTCTCTCCAACCAAAGTAGCAGGTTCACGAACATCATTAACCAATGCTTCCACAAGGTGTCTTATTGTATTTTGTTCATGATAAAGTTCTGTAAGTAAAATTTTACCAGCTGCAATAATTGCATTATCTGCAATCGATGGCTATAAAAGAACATAGAATGATTAGCATCAAATATAAATAAAGCCAATACTTTATGAAAATTAAATTTAAATAATTTACTTGATTACTCTTGCTACCCATAGATACAATATTAACTATTTCTTTATGAATTCCTAAGTCAAAAAAGATTCGTGGAGCTTCTACTAGAATTGCGTTTATGGTCAAAAGCGAACTTTGCGTCGGTTCTCCTGATAGGATGTAAGTTCTAATAATATAAAAAGCGAACGTTATAGTAAATGTAACCAAACAAACTCTTTATGACCAAATAAATAATAAGATTTACGTGATGAGAGGCATAGCTTCTTGAGGCGGAATATGCTTGCACAGACTTCCAAGAAGACGTGCGGCACCAACCACCATTCCTTCTACAAATATACATATATCATATTCAATATAATTCAACTTGTAATTTATACGCAAATTATATATACATACCGGAGGAATCAGTTAACCCATTTGCAATAATTCCAAGAACACCCTTCCTTGAAGCCTCGCTCATACTATCTCCTGCCTTATTCACTACGCTTTCCAAAGCGCTCAACATAGTTTCGCGCACATTAGGTTCACTCGTTTTTATTCCAGTAACCAATTCTAGTATCAAAGGATCCACGCGAGTTTGTAATGAAATTAAAGTACTGAGAGCCTTCGCCGCACGTGATCGAACAAGGGCACTCGTTGGATCGGTCAAAGATTTGACAAAAGTACGTTGAAGTTGTGGAAGAAAAGGTTTAAGAAGGGCAGAAACTTTTTCAAGTAGTAAACTGAATATTTACATATTTTGTCAGTAAAAACAACTCGATATTTAATGACAACATTGAAATAAACTACGGACCTCAAAGTCTGCAATATAGCTGCCTTCACCTGAGGAGGATAACGATCACCGATTATACGAATAAGAGGACCCGTTATTTGTGTCACAAATGGTTTGAGAGCATCAGAAGACGTTCGTTGAATAAGATCACCTATTCCTAAAGCAGATTGTTCACGAATTTCTGCAGTACCATACATCAATCCGTGTGAAAATATTGGAAGGATAGGACTTATTCCTTTTGGTAAACAAAATCCTGGTAAGTCAACTCCAGGAACCCCGACACCTTTCACTGAACGACGAAGTGGTATAACCAACTGTTCTAGATCGTCTTTCTTTACAGATTTGGTCACAGCATTTAAAGCATTCCATGCCGATTTGACTACCTCAATTTGATGATCATCTAAAAGTGATACTAAAACTCGTATCCATTCTGTTGTATATCTTGAAAAATCCATCTTCGTTTCACTACAAAATATTGCAACAATATCACAGGCACCGGATCGTTTTGCAGGTTCATCACTTTTAACTGCCTCAAAAAGTATTATCATCAAGTTTTGAAGACCTTCGATACTATCGATAGAAAGTAACAATGCACGTTCTGTTTCTTGAAGCTCTAAATTTACAGCTTCATCAGTTTCCATGCTCAAAGATTCCATTAAAGCAGTCAAAATGTTCGAGAGTCTTTTATTAAGAGCAGCACCAGCAACAGTTACCAAGGATGCAAGAGCTCGAGCATTAAAAGCAGTAATAGGTACGGTGATGAGATTAGGTATGAGAACTGGAAACACTACATTAGCACGAACTGTCATTATTTCTTTCAAAGCTTCTAATGCATAAGTAGAATCATTTCCAGATTGAAGGGAATTAAGAAGAGTAGGTAATATTTCATCGATTGCTTTATCACCAACATGTTGCTGAAGTGTATCAAAGGCTTCAAAATATAGATATAAATGATTATTAAAAATACATATATAGATAATATTCAAAGGAAATTAATTATTACCTTGAGCTGCTGCCTCACGTACTTCACCAGATTCATCAACCAATGCCTTTCGAACAGCCGGGATAATTGAATCTACATAATCAATAACTTGTACTTTTCCAGCTGTACTCATTATTTCGCTTAAGCCAATACAAACACCTTGTCTTTTATCTGATTCAGGAGACTCTAAGCCTTCCTCTAGAATAGGTATAATTTCTGACATAACGCTTTCACCAAGCTTACGAACAAGTTCTCCAAGAGTGCGTGCAGCTACTTGACGTCTCTCAAAACTTGGACTTGCGAGATTCTTAATAATCAAGCCCATCATTATCGGTAGTATTTCTTTAACAGTACGAGGTGTATTTGAAACGATAGATTTCCAAACATGCAAAGATGACTGTCTAACGAGACCAGATACTTAACAAAAGATAAATTACTTAGAATATTCATTTTTGATAAAAAAAAGAAAATTACTGAAAATTTTATAAACAATACGACTGATATATTACCATCTTGTCGAACAACATATAAAGCAGCCAAAACTCGATCACGTCTTTCCTTTCCAAGAGCCTGTAATAAAACTTTGCGACTGGATTCAGTCACACCAGTTTCTTCCTCTTCCTCTCCTTCAACAGTTGATTTACCACTAATACCGGTAATGCGATACAATAAATCTCCCATGAGTTGCACAGAACTTTGTCTAATTCTCCAATTATCATCAAACAACCCTCTTTCTAATTCAGGAAGTAAAAGGTCTACAGCTTTAGTCGCATAGTTTACAATTATCATTTGACCTGCTCTAAGTGAGGCATCTCGTACATATTCTGATTCATCAGCTAAACCAGATAAAATTGGAGGAATAATACGACCAAGGTAAGGTTGAAACCTTATACCAAATGTTGCTGGAAGATAAATAAGTAAGGAAATAAATCCTTCACGCACATATGATTTTGGACTAGTAGCATTAATTACAATTTCAGATAAAAGTCCCTCGAGGCGGCTTATACCCAATCCTGCTAATACTTCACTAAGTCCTTGTGCAGCGCCTTGTCGGTCAACACCACTAGTATCTGATTTAAGAGTATGAACTAACTCATTTACAAGATTTGGAAACTTATCTTCCCCAAGCTTTTCTACCATAGTACCTAATGATTTAGCAGCTGTAGCACGAGCCTCAGGTACAGGGTCTACTAATACTTCCTTAAGACTTGGTAAAAGTCGTGGTAAATAAGGAACAAGGTCTTTAACATCAGTTAGAGATGACATATTGCCAACTATTTGCGAAGACTTCTTTTTAACCTCAGTGCTACGCTCTTTTAATCCTCGCTCAAGAATTGGCATTACCTTCAAGAACAAAAGATAGCAGATACAATGTTAACGTGCTCATCCTGTTCGAAAGCAATCCGAAAATGATATACTAAAGTATCCCTTACCAATGCCAATGACGGTGCATCAATATAATGAACAAAAGCAGTTTCTAATAATGAGTTCAATGCAGCATTAGTGTTTTTATCAGGATCGCTTAATCCACGAAGTAGAATCGGTACGAGGGCTTGAATTTCAGGATTACTAATAACCTCTCCAAAGTGTAATAAAGCTTCATTTGCGGCTGATTGGACTTCCTTATGTGAATCTGAGAGTACATTTGTTAATCGAGGAACTATAGTAGGAAGAGAAATTGATAGTTGTTTAGGCGCACAGAATGCCATTGATCCCAGTAATTCGATTGATCCCTTCTTTGTTCTCCATTGACGATCATCCAAACCTGCTAATAACGTTGGTAAAATAAGTTTGATACAATGTCCACTTATTTTGCTCATGATAGCTCTAGCTGTATCTGATGTGGCTTCTCTAACATCAGGATGAGAATCACCAAAACATACTAACAACAGTGGTAAAATTTGTATAACATAAGGTTCAAAAAGGCGAACCAGGCTTTGCGATAATGTTTCGAAAGCAAAGAGTGCACCTTGTCGAAATTTATAGTCTTTTTTATTATCTACACCTTGTTTCAATACAGTTATTATATTACAGTCTTTTAAAGATGAAATACCAGTGCCTTTCACGACACCAGCTAAACCATATGCAGCACCTCTTCTTTCCGCATACTTTTCAGAATGGTATAACCGATTAAGCAGACCAGAAATCAAATCAGGTGCTTTAGCTTTCATAAACTTGATTAAAGGTGGTATACAATCTCCAACCGCTACTTGAACAGCTTCGGAAGGAGTTTTTAGTGCCTCAATAAGCCTATCAATAATCACAGGGATTCTTGAGTCTGTGGGATCTAAATGTTTTGCCAGAGCGCCAAACCAAATAACAACAGATTCACGAATACGGTCATGGGTTTCTGTCGGCTCGGCAGGTTTATCCAAATAGTTTTCAAACACAGACATCAATAAAGCAACGTTCTTACTACCGTGAGCGTCGATAACTGCCAAACCTGCCTAAGAAATCAAGCAAGAAAAAATCAATATAATAACAATTAATATAGATAAGATCAAATAATAGCCTTCCAGACCTCCAATAATTTTTGCCGCACTTGTGCATGAATATCTCCCACAGCCTCATCATTTATTAAGAATTCAAATAAAGGTTTCAAGTCCGTTGATTTTAAATTTTGTGCTAGTGTCCCAAGAGAAAGCGCTAATCCTACACGAGCTTCCCATGGGTCTTTTTTATTTAGCGAATCAGGTATTAAAATACCATATTCGTCATACTCAGGCAAGATCGGCTTTGACTAAGTGCATGATTAGAAATAAAAAATTGGAATCTATAGTACTACTGCATTAAGAAATTAATTCACAAAATAATTAATCGTGATAAAATGTGCATTCACCTTTTCTTTATATTGTTCGTAAATTAGTGACAACGTGTCTGAAACCGAATCAGGGAAGTATTTTGATGCACTACCAATTGATTTGGCAGCACATTCTCTGACATGCTTTTCTTCACGAATCACATAAGACAACAATTCGACATTGTAACTAGGCTCAACGTCCATTCCATTGGATTCCCATAAGGCTAATGCCAATTTTGCGTTATTTTCATCCTCATCATGACAAGCTATCCATAATTCACATGAAAAATCGATATCTGTAAGATCCAAATACTCTAATGCTTGTAAACAAGCATGGCGAACAAATGCTTCTGGAGAAAGTATTCCGGTGAGTAGAACGTTTATTTCCTTTTGTTCTGCTGTATCACCAATAGACTCGCATAAATTAATCATTGCGGTCCTTGCAACTTTTGTTAACTTTGGATATTCTTTAATTATATGTAAAAGGGTATGAATCATTTCAGACCGAGGAAGTAACGGGGAAGCTCCAATCCCTGTGTGAAAAGAAATTATATCTAATCCTAATGCAATTTGTTCAATTGACATTTCTGAAGCTTTCGTTTCTTCTTTATGTAAACAAATCCCGCCTTTAATAATAACTTGATGAATCAATGGAAAGCAATAAGCAAACGACGGAGGTGGCATTAGCGATCGTTCTGTTATGATACGAAGACGAAATAGTACGCGTGAAATAAGGTGGTCCAATGGTTCTTGAAACCATTTTTCCGGGATTTCTTGGACTTGCATAATACGGAGAGTTGCTAATCCAATGGAGTTGCGAATACTTTCAATCTTTTCATATGTACAAAGATTGATGTTTAAATAGGTATTAACCGCCTTTTCGTCGACCAAAGGACCACATTTCTTTAAAACTTGATGCAATAATTCCATTAACTCTACAATATATTGTTCAGTAGCCTCTGAATTTCCTTTCACCATCGCATCCACAATATCAAGACCCATTATCAATTTTTGACGAGCATTCTCGACAGTTTTACGCGTCTCGGATTCTTTTGCTAATTGAGCACTTACTGCAGCTTGTTCTTCCTTCGTTAATTTGGGGGTTGACGTGCCTTTCTTTTGTGCTATCTTTTCACGTACTTCACGTTCCCACTTTTCAGTATGATAATCTTTTTTATTACGATTCTCTACAACTTGCTTCTTATTTTTGAGTACTATTCATTAAAATAAAATTGTTCAATGAAACTAATTCTTTAAGATGATCAAAAGAAAATATGTAACATTACCGTCGACAAATAAAGTCCCTTCTGCAGTTTTCCATATTCCTATATCTTGATCGCTCATTTTTTCAAACAAGCAAGGATCCAAATATTTACGACACTGAATAATAAGCATTGGTACGAGTTTTTCAGGAGAAATGAAAGTTACAGTTGATATCGCAGACAAGGCGGCTTGATAAAAATTTTTCGACTTTAAAAGAAGAAAGTATTACCAATAATATTAAGAAAATAATAACATTTTTTATTTTAAAGAAAAGGAAAGCTTACTGCATTATTAGTATCAATTGCTGATTGTATTAGTTGTAAAATACGTCCAGAATGCTTTTCAACCAACTTTCCAGGGTCAAGCTTTGCTCTTTGTACTAAAGTGATCCAATTGTACTTATCGGTGGGTGACACTGGAATCGTAGTAAAATCAATTTTTAATTATATATAATCTTTTACTAGATCGACAAAACATTACTAACCAATTGCGGAATGATGAGATAAAATTATTAGCTCAACAAGCGATTTTTCTACATTTGATCTATCAGCCTTTTCGGAAAATGTGGTGATGGCAGTGAGCACTTTTGAGAGCCTATATGCATTAACAGTAGGATCTGAATGTGCAATTGCCGAAGCTAATAATGCTGTAGAATCTTTGACATTCTTTTCAAGCTAAAAGAATTTAAGTCATTTGTATGCCATCTTTAGAAAAAATATCATTTATTCATTATTAAAGTGTAAAAATGACTAGATTTATTGTTTGACATACTTGAAGTACCCAGTTAGTTAATCCTTCTCGAATCATTTCACCTACATAATCTGGATTTAATTGGAGGCAAGTCTTAAGAGCATTATACGCATCGCGAGAAGCTTGGTGAGACGTCGAAATCATATAAATAAAGGTAGTAGCTATATACACTCTAAAAATAATTAATTGGTTAAAAATAATAAAACATCAATATGAACGTTAGCTTAGTGTCTTTTAGCATAATAATATTTACTTGATATCCGTTTTTTGCAATGAAGCCTCATCATCATTAAGGATTATGCTTTCAAGAGATCGAATAAACCAACAACTTTCATCAACAGTAGTAAGTTTGGAGTACACCTTATCCCAAAGCAAGAATGTAAGTTTGGGTGAAGTGGCCAAAATATTTTGTTTGAACTTCTTTGTGCGGATCAATGCATCTAATGTTGTTGTAAACATTGAAAATAGATTATTCACTTTATGCCTTAATCAATCCCGTAGAATTATATGAATTTAGTCTACAACTTACTGATCTCATCATCATTCCAATTTTTTGATCTACCTTCAATAATTGAAACTAATATATAGCCTTCAATTGGACCACCAGTAAAATTAAGAGCATTGGCTTGAATCTTTTCCGTCGTCGACATAAGAGGCGCAAGAGACTTAAGAATTACGTTACGAAGTGAAACCGATGGATGTCCTGCCTCTTCCCATGCAAGTCGCCCAATTACAATAGCCCATGCTTTTCTCTCGCCAGTTTTAGCACTAGCCAATCCTTCCACAATGGACTTTGTAACTTTTTTCACGAGAGTTTCGTCTTCCATATTTAATAATGGTTTAAAATGTAAGCCTAAAGCATCAATAACCTTAGCCAAAGAATTTTCGTTGCTTTCTTTTAAAATAATTGGTAATAGTCCTTCAACAACAGATTTGGATACTTTAGGCGTTCGATATATTTGACTTAAAACTTGGAATAATATGATGCGATGTTCCGGGTTGGAAACTTTTACAGTCCCTACAAAAAATATCAATAAAGTAAGTCTTTAAAAAAAAGAAAAAAAAAAAAAAGATTTAACTCATTGATAAACAGTCATCAAGATTTACAATATATAATCGTCATTGATATTACAGACCTCCACTCAATGCTTGAATAATATCTTTAACAACGTCTACTAGAATGTCTTCATTAGAACTTTTTTCAACGAGTATCTTTAGCAATATTGTTGCATCTGTTTGGATCACTTTATTGGAGGATCGAATATGTGCCAGTAAAGGTTGAAGAAAATTTTTCTTTAAGAAATTTGATAAATCAAAAGAAAAAGATTTAACTAGGCAGGCTAGCACTATTAAAAATACAATTGTGAATTAACAGGGGATTGGAGTAATAAATTTGCGATCTTGATAGAGAATAACAAACCGCTCAATACGATTTCAGGAGCTCTTAGAAGAAGTTTCTCGAAAACTGGAATTAACTTTGTTTGAAAGTCTTCTTCTGTAATTATAAATTTCATAAAATCATGCAGTGCATTCTATGATAAAAAAAAAAAAAAAGCAAGGTTAAACTAAATTTTAATTTGATTGAAAATGCAATTGGTATGAATATAAATACCTTCGATGTTTGCGACACAGCAGTTTTAGAAGATGCGATGCTTGTTATATAAAATTGTATAATATCATCCTAAAGAAGGTTATTGACGAACGAGTCATTTAATATCTTTGGATGAAAATTGTAATACTATGCTCATTAAAATTGTAAGCCGTTATATACCTTTGCATTTTCTACAAATGCTTTGCCGTTTTCCTTTTTGTGTCGCAATGAACAATCAACGACTGTCCCAAGTAAGACGGCATCACTGCATCTCACACTGGAAGTAAGATATTTTAGATATGAGGGAATATTTGATACATTCTGTATGAAGATGAGTAAATTGAGTATGTGAAAAGGCTTAAAACATTAGTCTAATGAACAGTCGTTAGTCTAAATATATTCATCTACCTTGCGAATACAACGTCTAACATCAGCCAATGCACTATTAGCCATGCTTTTTCTTTTTTCATTTTCATAAGTTAATGAATGTAAAAGTATTGCTTGCGAATCTACTAAACCCTTCCAATGTGGTGATGATTCAGCGTTGGTGGTGGCCGATAAAACAAAGTTAATTAGTGTATTGACCCATGTAAGAAGAACAAATCGAATAGCGGATGATGTCGTGTACGTGGTGCTAATGCATAAACGTAATTAGATGAGAAAATTTCCTTAAACTCATTATTGATTCATACCAGTCGGGACTCTTTTGATTTAATTTATCAGCTTCTTTGGTGACCATTGGAACAAATGCATTTAAAAAAAGCTCAGAATTCCAGTTATTGAGCTCTTTCAAAATATTTAATATAGCAAGACGCGAAGGCCTATCATTATATCTAGAATAAGTTAAGAAAATAAGGTGAAGGAGACTTCCAAGTAAATTTTCAGTGAGATCTATTTTATAATTGCGGGTATATATCGTTAAAAATAGTAATTAGAGCAAATTATATGATAAAATTGAAGGTTGCATTAATGCTAATTACCGCCAGCTTTTATTCGGGGCAATAGTGAGTGATTCAAAAACTCCAAGCGATGTGTGACATTCGAGCTTGTAATACTGTATAAAGCTCGAGACTTTAAAAATTTGGCCCAAGAAAGGTCAGCTAAACCGATATCAACTATATCTGAAGAATCCATTATTTTTTAATTTTTGAAAGCAGGCCGCAGTATCAAGATTAACATTTAAAGATTTTTATATAGCGATAGGAGAAAAAAAAATCGATCTGATGTCACGTGAAGTTGATGCAGACCTTTCTTCCAATTGGTCAATCACTGAAATTTTGTAATTCGGGCCACATCACATGAGTCATTCAGCATTTAGCAATTAGTTATACTGTATACGTGTTCTTTCAAAAAATTTTGATGTGATATGCGACTTTTCTATATTATCTAAATTCTTGCCGTATTTCCTTCATATGTAATTTAAACGGTTGGGAAATGTTTAGAAGGTATTTAGAAAGGTCACATACAGTATCACCAAAATTTTTGGAAATACTTGTTGAATAAGTTTAATATTCTACATGTACATTGAACGAAACCGCCATTGTTCAAGATGCCTAAAATTATTTCTACTAGAATCATGTTTTTTTTTTCATTTCTTCATAATCCTAGTCAATAATATTATTGTTATTCGAATTCTTCGAATTCAAGAACTATTCGAACTATTCGTATGTCAATGTTTATGTATTGTACAGTTTATAAATAATTCTTTAAAAAAGATCTTATTTATAGTCTATCCTAAGTCATATCTTGGCATTAAAACGCTTTTAAAAACTAATTTTACAAGCTTTGTTAACCCATGCATATTTTCGAATTTACTGTAGCAATATACACGTCACTCTGGTTATATCGACACTTTCCAAAATCAAAGAAATTGTCCGATAAGTCCAGAAGCCGTTATACCAAGATGTCGATATAACCAAGTAACGTGTATGTACATACTTTATTTATATACAAAGCACAACTCTCAATATAAGAGAGACTAATCAATATAAGAAAGTTAAAGCCAAACCAGTCTATAATAAGTTCATTTGATATAATAAACTCATTAATAAACTCTCGATATAACTATTAACCCTGTCGCCTTTCTTATATCGAGAATTATATCTATAGTTCATAAAAATAAAAGTACAAAATGGTTGTCAAGGTGAAATTTCCATTCCACGAATGTACTGTACGTATATACGTGCATAAACCGATAAGTAAATAGCGACAGATACTAGATAAGTAAATAGCGACAGATACTAGATACAGTTTACCCTCATTAATATCAGCCCATTTGGATCGCTTTTATATTCATGATGACAATGATAAAGATAGACTTTAAATATAGAAATTCATTTTATAGTTTAAGTTGATATTAATGAGGTTAACGATGGTCAACTGTATGCGTATCTGGTATGTGTACATACTTACGTAGTATTAGCAGCTAGCAAAACATTTTCTAATCTACCTGTCCTTAGGATTATGGGTGTATCTCTCGCGAGATAAACCTAGCCAGAATTGCAATGAGATAAATTACTATATAATTTACCTACATAAGGTGTGATAAATTACCTATATGAATACTGTATAGTGCATTATAAAAACAAATTTATCAAATTTTAATTTACTGTAATTTTATCAATCTAAAATAATATATATTTCACATGCCTAATATAAAATATTTGAATATATATATATGTTACAGTTACTAGATAGCGATAGTATTAATGCAGTTAAAATTTAAATGGTTATATCATTTAATCAGCTAGATCACGAGATGTATCATATCTAAACTATATAATTGCTATAATAATAACTTTGATCCATTGAATTATTTAACTATCAAAATAATCAGCTCAGTGAGACGATTCTAATGAACTCAGAATCGTCAAAATCCAATCAGAGGATCCCGAAATCGTTATAGATTTATAAAATTAAATAAGAAATCTTAAATTTTTATATAATGATATAAATTATTTAATTCTAATACTAGATATATAACTATAATATTAAAGTTGACAACATCCTCACCTCTCTTATATCATACACATTATTGAAATTATACAAATCATACAATAACTTTTATTACTGATTTGTTTTATATAATCTTACTATTAATAAGTTCATTTTAATAAAATCAAATCTATTCACTAAATTATCACGAGAATCAATAGGCGCATCATCCTGTAAAAAAAAACTTTATTGATCTCATGATCTAGTAAATGGATTTTGAAGATATTTAAGGCAAATTCTGTGATTTAATGTGTGCAGTTATGTGACGTTATTCTTTAATTTCTGTGATTTGATGCGTTTATCTAAAACATATAATTCGATAAACATGCTCGTAATTTATGTTGATTTATTGTCTACCTTTCCAGAATTTCCAGCGTCGACGCTAATTTGTGGTCAAGCGCCGCAATATTTTTTTGTCCCTCATCGAGGAGGGTGTTACAAGATGAAAAAGCGTGAAAACAAACGAAAAACAAAAGAAAGACAAAAAGGAAAACAACTCTGGGTTATCTGTCCCATCCGCTCACGTGCTATACATGTAATAGTGCAGAACTCGAAAGCATCGAAAGTAACTGTTCTAAAACTGATGGTTTTCTAAGCTATTGCTCGTCGCAAGGGGCGGGCGAAAAAAACCAGACAATTTTTTCTGGAAAAAACCCTAAGTTCCCCTAAGACTACTCTAACACTCACAACGAGTGTTATGAAAACCTGTACACAACATTCTTTCGCGACTGTCGTCTCGACAGGCCACTTTTGCAAAAATTACTTCACGCCTGTCGTTTAGACAGGCCGCTTCAATATAAAACAAAACTACGAAAATACCTGTGACTGTCGTCTCGACAGGCCACACCATTAACAAAAACTTCAACGAGATTGTCGACCCCACAGGCCACTAAAACCCATACTATGACTGTCGACCGACAGGCCATAAACTAACCCAAAACTCGGCTAACAAACGAAGTACGTCAACCCAATGGGCCTTCAATAAACCTCAAGTTACTGTACGAACGCGTACGAGGGCCGGGTCGGGTGGGGCGAAGAAACCAAACAAAGTCGGATTAGCAGAAAAAACAGAAGATACCCTTCCTGAGAAAAAACCCTATTCTCTCTAAATACTACTAACGATTACTAATCGCAAATACTGCGTCAATACGTCATAAAATCAAATACGAATCATACGATAATGCATCAAACGAAATCATACAATAAATCATTGTGATGCATCAACTGACCAAAGTCATATGATATGATAAATCACGATAACGCATCAACAATCCACCCGTGATCGATTCGAGACAAAAAGCTGTTCCGATACTATTAATGTGA